ATTGTCGATATCTGCCCCCGCAGACAACAGCGAACTCCTCACCCGACGTACGAATGCAACTCAGGCCGTCCATCGTGATAGAGTGGACTCCACGAGTCCCGAGAAACTCCTGCACGGATTTCTTTGCACATGTAGGCAGCAAAAATTGGATTCCCTGCGATCCACGTCGCGGCCAGGAATCGCAAACGACAACCCCGTCAGCTGCTCACGGAGCCGTCGCCCAGACAAATTTTGCAAACGGGGGTTCATGCACGGGCGCCGACGAACCCGCGTCATCGCGGGAAGTCGAATAAGCCCTATCGTTTAGAGAAAGGAGAATTCGTAAAATGAATTTTATAGGTGAACCTGCGAAAGGATCATTGTCGATATCTGCCCCGGCAGACAACAGCGAACTCCATACCCGACTTACGAATGCCGCTCAGGCCGTCCATCGTGACAGAGTGGGCGCCACGAGTCCCAAAAATCTCCTGCACGGATTTCTTTGCACGTGTAGGCAGCAAAAATGGGATTCCCTGCGATCCACGTCGCAGCCAGGAATCGCGAACGACGACCCCGTCAGCCGCTCACGGAGCCGTCGCCCAGACGAATTTTGTGAACTGGGGTTCGCGCACGGGCGCCGACAAACCCGCGTCATCGCAAGAAGTCGAAAAAGCCTTATTGTTTAGAGAAATGAGAACTTGTAAAATGAATTCTATATGTGAACCTGTGAAAGGATCATTGTCGATATCTGCCCCGGCAGACAACAGCGAACTCCTGACCCGACGTACGAATGCCGCTCAGGCCGTCTATCGAGACTGAGTGGGCGCCATGCGTCCCAAAAAAACTTCTGCACGGACTTCTTTGCACATGTAGGTAGCAAAAATGGGATTCCCTGCGATCCACGTCGCGGCCAGAAATCGCGAACGACGACCCCGTCAGCCGCTCACAGAGCCGGCGCCCATACGAATTTTGCGAACGGGGGTTCGCGCACGGGCGCCAACGAACCCTCGTCATCGCTGGAAGTCGAATAAGCCCTATCGTTTAGAGATAGGAGAATTCGTAAAATGAAGTCTACAGGTGAACCTGCGAAAGGATCTTTGTCGATATCTGCCCCGGCAGACAACAGCGAACTCCTGACCCGACGTACGAATGCCGCTCAAGCCATCCATCGTGACAGAGTGGGCGCCACGAGTCCCAAAGAACTCATGCACGAATTTCTATGCACATGTAGACAGCAAAAATGGGATTCCCTGTGATCCACGTCGCGGCCAGGAATCGCGAACGACGACCCCGGCAGCCGCTCACGGAGCCGTCGCCCAAACGAATTTTGCGAACGGGGGTTCGTGCACGGGCACCGACGAACCCGTGTCATCGCGGATAGTCGAATAAGCCTTATCGTTTAGAAAAAGTAGAATTCGTAAAATGAATTCTATAGGTGAACCTGCGAAAGGATTATTGTCGATATCTGCCCCAGCAGACAACAGCGAACTCCTGACCCAACGTACGAATGCTGCTCCGATCGTCGATCGAGACTGAGTGGACGCCACGCGTCCTAAAAAACTTATGCTTTTTAATTTATTAGAATTTTATTATATATTATTATTATAAATATGTTTTCGAAATATTAAAAAAAATATATGAAAAAATTGTGGGTGTATTTTTTGTGAAATATACTTACATATTTTTATTATAAAAAATTAATATATATGCACACTGGACTTTTTAGTTTTGGATAATATTTTTATTTTAAAATTATTAATGATCATGTAATACAGTTAGTTTTTTACAATAAAAATAATATCTTTCTATATTTGATTTATATGAAGACGAGTAAGAGTGAGAAAAATATTCAAAAATTCGATCTCAGTCAAATTAAATTTTAAAATTTGATTTGAACTTTCGGATTGAATCGAAATGGTGTTTTTGAAATTCAAATAAATTGAAAATCTGAAATTTAATATTTTAATATATTTAATATTTTAATAAAAATAAAAAATCTAAATAATTGATTATATTTTAATCTAATCTAGTATATATTTACCGTGGGATATATATTTACCGGTAAAAATGATCAACCACGTGTAACCGTATGAATTTTTTATTTTTTTATTTTTATTTTTGTTTTTCGAAATTTTTATGCGGAGATTATGTTATATAATAATAATAATAATAATGATAAATAATGTAATCCTTCATTTGAGTTTGAATTGTGAGATTCGATATCTTTTTTTTAAAAAAAAAAAATTGTTAACTGAGATTCATGATGCGCCTAGTATGACTTGTCTGTCGGGCCTAATTTACAAGATATTATGTTCGACCAGAGATTTACCCAATATGCACTTTCGGGCAGCGATTGTGAGTTCTCACATCATAATAAATATATACTGATTTATTTGAATTTTGATTTTTTTTTTCATTTTTTGCGTTTGGGCAATAATAACGATTATAAATTACTCCCTCCGTTCTATATATCATGTCCATATTGCCGTTTCTGTCCATTCTACGTACCATGTCACTTTTCTTCTTTAAAAATGATTATATACTTTAATCTCATTTTAAACTTTTTTATTTTTTTTAATTTTAATTAAACTAATTAGCTATCTTAATCTTAATTTATAATTATTTATATTATAAGATAATTATTTTCACTAATATATTTTTAATTATCTAGTAATTACACCCCTTCTAAAGTACCGTGTCTACAGTGTAGCAGCCACGGTATGTGGGACGGAGGGAGTAGTATTTTATGGTTGAAATTATGACAAAAATAATTCTAACCATTACTATAATACTATAATTTACTTATTCCAAAATAGTGAAAATATCTCTTTATTTTTTTAATGGATTAGATAATAATTATATTTTATTTTTTGAAAGAAAATGAATAAGATGATTTTAAGATTTTTGTCTTTTGTAAGTATAAATTATGAAAATATTTATTTGTAAAAGTGAGATGTATTTAAAGGAGTAAGAAAAAAATATATAAATATTTTAAAGTGACAAAAAAATTATTTAGATGAGAGGTAAAAAAATGAGTACAAATATTTTTAAGTAAAAATGAGTATAGTTATCAAGTTAATTAAATTAATTTATATTTGTTAAAAATATACATAATGTATAATTTTATATGTTATGTTATATAATTTATATTTATTAAATATATATATGATTTATAATTTTATATGTTATGTTATCTATTTTGTCATTTATATTAAAGTAAAAGTAATGTAAAAATTAAAAAGTAGATTACTTTAATATTTTAATTGATAGTTATTTTTCTAAAAATTGAAATAAAATTTGTTAACTTGAACAGATTAAAATAATAAAATAAAAAATTTACTATTAGATAGAGTGAGTAATATTTACAACAATTGTACTATCCAAAAATACTAAGTGAACAAACTCAAATTGTTTATTATAAATAAAATATATATAAATTTAATAAATAAAAATAATAATAACATAAATTTAGTGAACAAATAAAATATTATTTAACAACAATCGTGTGTATAACACGGGTTACCGACTAGTATACTTATATTTATTTATCATATATATTTAATAATACATAAAACAATTATAAAAATATAAAATAAAACTTTAAAATTTAAAAATAATTAAAAAAATTAAAATTCGGATTATTTTGGATATTTTGTTTTAGTTCAAATTTTTTAATTCGAATATTTCGAAATGTTCACCCTTAAATATGAGTGAGCTATTTGTGCGAGATTGTTAGTACATTTTTTTTCAATAATTTTGGATTTTTTAAAACAAAAAAAAAAAAAACACAAATAAATCATTGTCGACATCAATCATTATGTATGCAAATCAGATAATTCGATTTTTTTATATTTTTTTAAAAATTATGGATTGGTCGAATTCCATAATTTATCATCTAACAAGAGTTTTGGAAATAATAATATATGTATTTTTTTTTAATCTTTATGTGTTTTTATTTGTACATGTTTATTATATATTTTATTTTTTAAAATAATATTGTATATTTATATAATTTTCATTTTTTAATTACTAACAATTTACATTAAAAATAATTTTATAATTTATAATATAGTACACAAATATTACTTCTATTATTTGTATATCATACGATAAGGAACAAAAAAAATTACTCCAATTGAAGTACTATATCATTAATTTTAATTTTTAAATAATTTTAATCAATTTTATAAACTCGTGTAGGTTTTTAATGTTGAAAATTTTAGTCGTTCGAAATTTAATCCAACAAATCATTCGATAATACAATAGTTAGTCACTTCTTTAGTTCGATCCATCGGACTCGATCCAATTCTTTTAGATAACAATTTATATTAATTTATGTAATTTAATTTAGTATTAATATAATTAAATTTAATTATTTTTTAGATATTTAGTACTGATTCAGGACATGATCTTAAGTGTATTTTGCGGCATTGATTAGTTAATAAATTAACTATCTTAATTATATTAATAATATAATTAAATGGGATAAATCAATATAAATATTTTTTAAAGCATTCCGCTTAAATGCTGGTGTTTTCGTTTGTAAGATTTTATCAAAATTCTACTATTCATCTAAAATTTTCCCCTCATAAAAATCAAATCAAACACATTTTTTTATATATATATTATACTAAAAATTAATTTTGCATTCAAAACATCACATCAACACCTATTTATATCACGTAATACAATTATTAAAATTCAAAATTTTTATTATTCAAATCATAACACAAAATTCAAACCCCCAAACAAACACACCCTGAATGTCTCTTTCCAATCCAAATCTTCTCCCAAACACCATAAAAAATTGCACAACAACAACTTCGGCGGCGGAGAAGAATGAAACATCGAATTTGACTGAACAAATAAGTAAACCCAAGATATATATATATATATAGTATGGTTTATTCTTATTGCATACACCAAGCCTTAATGTCTCTTTGATGACATATGTTTTTCAGACATCAAACATTATTATTTTGTTTTCGAATTTATTGCAACTCGCAACACACATACTAAAATTAGGTCGAAGGAAGAACCCAAAAATTGAGCAGAAACGAAGCGAACAACAACGACCACGACAAGAACGCCATCACGGCAGCTATTCGAAACTTAATGCACGCTTTCCCTTTGCACACCGGCGCTTCATATGCCATCAAAGCATCGGCCACGCTGGCAGCCGAGCACGATGCCCCTAGCGTAAGCGTCGCAAGAAGCTACAACACCATCAAAAACAATGTATAAAAATTCAATTTATTCTGCAAATATATATATCTGGTCGAATGAAAATGAAAAATCGTACACCTAGATATTAGGCGAATCTCAACCATAAAATGGGTGTGTTTGTTTTGTAAGATTGTTGGAAAATAAATCTTTTTTATATAAAGTATAGAGAATTGTGTAGAGAATATAAATATAATGAATATGTATAGTGTATTATTTTTTTTGAAAATACATGTGAGAGGAAATAGGTAAAAGAACAAAGCCTTTATATTTTCAAAATTATTTTAGTATTGCTCATAGAAAATTCTCTCTAAAAAAATATCACATTAAGAATTCAGTTTTTATTTAGAATATTACATGAAAAATTATTTTTTATTGAAAACATTACGTCTAATACATATTTATGTCACAACAAATATATATTTACTCATTTAGATAGAAGTTTTTGAAAAAATAATAATAGTCATATTTTGTGGAAAAATAATATTTAATATGATATTGTTTAAAAAAAATTACTGTGAATAGTATTAAATATTTCAAAAATATCTATGTAAATATGTTGAAAATTTTAGTCGTTCGAAATTTAATCCAACAAATCATTCGATAATACAATAGTTAGTCACTTCTTTAGTTCGATCCATCGGACTCGATCCAATTCTTTTAGATAACAATTTATATTAATTTATGTAATTTAATTTAGTATTAATATAATTAAATTTAATATTTTTTAGATATTTAGTACTGATTCAGGACATGATCTTAAGTGTATTTTGCGGCATTGATTAGTTAATAAATTAACTATCTTAATTATATTAATAATTAATTAAATGGGATAAATCAATATAAATATTTTTAAAGCATTCCGCTTAAATGCTGGTGTTTTCGTTTGTAAGATTTTATCAAAATTCTACTATTCATCTAAAATTTTCCCCTCATAAAAATCAAATCAAACACATTTTTTTATATATATTATACTAAAAATTAATTTTGCATTCAAAACATCACATCAACACCTATTTATATCACGTAATACAATTATTAAAATTCAAAATTTTTATTATTCAAATCATAACACAAAATTCAAACCCCCAAACAAACACACCCTGAATGTCTCTTTCCAATCCAAATCTTCTCCCAACACCATAAAAAATTGCACAACAACAACTTCGGCGGCGGAGAAGAATGAAACATCGAATTTGACTGAACAAATAAGTAAACCCAAGATATATATATATATAGTATGGTTTATTCTTATTGCATACACCAAGCCTTAATGTCTCTTTGATGACATATGTTTTTCAGACATCAAACATTATTATTTTGTTTTCGAATTTATTGCAACTCGCAACACACATACTAAAATTAGGTCGAAGGAAGAACCCAAAAATTGAGCAGAAACGAAGCGAACAACAACGACCACGACAAGAACGCCATCACGGCAGCTATTCGAAACTTAATGCACGCTTTCCCTTTGCACACCGGCGCTTCATATGCCATCAAAGCATCGGCCACGCTGGCAGCCGAGCACGATGCCCCTAGCGTAAGCGTCGCAAGAAGCTACAACACCATCAAAAACAATGTATAAAAATTCAATTTATTCTGCAAATATATATATCTGGTCGAATGAAAATGAAAAATCGTACACCTAGATATTAGGCGAATCTCAACCATAAAATGGGTGTGTTTGTTTTGTAAGATTGTTGGAAAATAAATCTTTTTTATATAAAGTATAGAGAATTGTGTAGAGAATATAAATATAATGAATATGTATAGTGTATTATTTTTTTGAAAATACATGTGAGAGGAAATAGGTAAAAGAACAAAGCCTTTATATTTTCAAAATTATTTTAGTATTGCTCATAGAAAATTCTCTCTAAAAAAATATCACATTAAGAATTCAGTTTTTATTTAGAATATTACATGAAAAATTATTTTTTATTGAAAACATTACGTCTAATACATATTTATGTCACAACAAATATATATTTACTCATTTAGATAGAAGTTTTTGAAAAAATAATAATAGTCATATTTTGTGGAAAAATAATATTTAATATGATATTGTTTAAAAAAAATTACTGTGAATAGTATTAAATATTTCAAAAATATCTATGTAAATAAAGACATTCCGAAATATATCTAAATGTAACTTTAATATTTATAAAAAATACTATTTTTTTAATCTCATAATTGGAATTTGTCTTGAAATATTCTTGTAAGGAAAATTTTTTTGTACATTTGATTTTTCGGCGCTAAAGATTCCTGCATGGAATCCGGATGATACATGTCCGTCAGGTAAGCGCACTTGGTGGACACGAGCAAATATTCAAAAATAAATAAATTTTTAGAAATACAAATAAAAAATATTAGTTTTTTTATAAAGCTATAACAAAAATATTTTTATTATTTTTATAAAATACATCAATTTAAAAAATAAAACTTACACGTGTCCGCCAAATGACACTTGACGGACACATGTCCTTCGATGTGCCACGTGGGTTCCACACAATCATCTTTAGTGCCGGAGCATTAAATATACAAAAGTTTTATACTTACAAAACTATTTCAAGATAAGCTTTAGTTACAAGACTAAAATAATAAAATGAGCCAGTTACGACACTAATTAAAAATAATAATTTATTTATATTTATAATAATAGAAAAGTAAGGCGCACCCCGTCTCCTACTACGATCACCGAAAGTATCTTGATGGGGCGAGTCGATTGGATCGCGCAAATAGTGTAGGCATCCGACACTGCTAATGTGAGGCTCCATGGGACAACCAACCCCATCGTTGTTACCAAGAAACTGCAAGATTAAGACACTTCGATAAAAATTAGGTGATTATAAATCGAAAAAAAAAAAATTTTAATCGATTTATGTGTTAAAAGAATTACCAGAATGAGGTGAAACTGTAGAAGTTGTTAGCCAAACAAATGTAAACCAAAGAAACGATCCCTGAAATAGCTTGCCCCAACCTCAAAGCCAAGCTTCCGAGGCCGCCTTCGACTCCCGGAAACTCATCCATGTTCGATAAAAACTAGGCCCTTAATTCTTACAACGCTAAGAATAATAGATATTTGTAAAAAGGGGTGAGAGCTAATTTTGATAATTCTTTTTTGTAGATTTTGTCTGTAGAAGTTCGCAATAAATGTTGTATTTTTAGGATTTATAATGTGAATTTGAAAAAATTATTTTAAGGAGAAGAATAAAAGGAAAAGAAGATTACATTTATGGACCAAATTAGCAAGAGTGGTAACAAAACTTTTTGCTTTGTTTCTTATTATATCCAAAAAGATTTTATGTATAAGATTTTTGAAATTTTTATATTGGATTTTTATTTCGTAATGCTCCGACTGATTATTGAGCTTTTTCATGACTATTGTGTCAGTTCCAGCAGTATTACATCAATACATGTGAGAATATTTTGTTATTATAGAATATTTTCATCAATTTTGAATTAAATATATAATTAGTTTTATGTTGTTTTTACTTAAAAGAACAAAATAATAAGAATGTGAAATACAAAACAAAAAATACACTTGTTTGTTCGTTTTGTGTTTTTGGATTAGTGTATTATTTAGGTTGGGCATTGAGAATTGTATTGTAATATAAAATATATATATATATAAAAAAAAAAAAAAAACATTGTGTTGAATTATTTATTTTTTTAAATGAATAAATTATATTATATATATATATTGTATGATGTGTATATATTGTAATTTTTTTTAATAATATTTTTAAAGAATTGCTTCACCTAAAAAAATCATTATTATATATATATTCAATTATTAATGTATATTACGAAAATAAAATTAATAATATAAGTAAATGAGTAAAATATAGTTTTTTTTTTCATAGAGAATGATGATAAATATATCATAAAAAAATTAAAAATTAAATTTGAAAAGAGTAGAGTATTGGGTATTATTACAAGAAAAATATAATATATATTAATACAATATATAATTTTTACTCTCCAAAATTAAATTATTCACAAAATATTATTATTTTTATATTTTTGATACGATTTTTCATAGTTAATATAAAATAACACATTCATACTAAAATACTTATTAGTTTGACACTATACTATAAAACCATCCTACATTTTGGTTGTTTGAATGTGTTTATTGTTGTTTTAAATGTTTTTTTTTTTTAATGATTTTTTTAATGTAAACATTTATTAATGGAAAATGATCTTGATTAGAATATAATTATTATATACAATACATTTTAATAAAAGTAGATGTTTCTAAGTATATAAATTCGTGAAAAAGATATAAATAATAAAAACAACAATAATGCTATATATTGAAGATGATGCCAAAAATTAAAATAGTATTATTAATGTAATATTATTAAAAAAATTATATATATTTATTAAAAATAATATTGTAGTATGATACACTAATTTCAAACTACACTACAAAAAAATTATATATTTGTAACGGAATTCCGTTCCTAAAATTCACGTAGCTAACGTAATTCCATTCCTAATTCTGTCTTTAATATCATTAGTAACGAAAAAAGTAGATTTTGTTAAAAAAAAATTTTGTTACAAAAATTATTTTTTCTTGTAGTGCTAAAATCAAATAAAAATTTTATATAAGGGTGTGTTTACTTTTAAGTAAATTATATATATATATATTATCATTTTCACCTTTCCTTTGAAATATTACATGTAATATATTTTTTAGAAAATAATATAATAATAATTAACAAAAGTATTAATAACAAAAACAAGATCCTAAGTGCCTATGACTCAAATAATATAATACCAATATATTATGTATCTAAAATTAGGCCATGCAAAAAAATATTTGCATAATAACATTTGTTATCAAAATTAGTATTGTTCAGTCTTCATGGTTTTAACAAAAATATATTATTGTTTTACATAATATATTACATTAAAATATTATTTAAATTAAAATTTAAACTCAAATTAATGTCACATTGACCTCATATTGGGTTCACATATATATTGGCATTTTTTTATACGTCAAATTATTTATTTTCACAAATTACTATGCATCACTAGCAATAAAATATACTAAGTACTTATTTTACAAAATATATACAAATAATAAAAATAATTATTTTAGTAGTAACACTTTTATAATACTTGATAACTAAAAAAAAAAAACTTTAAAATTCCCAAATACTAACACTACGAATGTTTTTAGGAGGAAATAATTATTAAATGTGATATTAGGTATTAATAAGTGTTATATAGATTGGAACATAATAATAAATTTAATGTTTTTTTAGTATGAATGTAATATTTTATAAGATTAAATAAATATAATTATATTAAAATTAATAAAGTATATTAAAGAAATTGAAAAACTAATCAAATAAACAAAATCTTAATAATAAAAAAGAAAAATGCAAATCAACACTCGCGATCATCTATCTAGATTCAACTATGACGATTGGGCACAATTTATAACAATTTAATGTATCTAATCTCATTAGAACTTTAAATTTAAATGTAATTTGGGCATGATAAAATACTAAGATTGATAATCTTTTTTAAAAAAAGATCGTGTTGCCACAAAAATAAATAAATAAATAAATAGGTCAAATACGATGGTAAAAAATAATTTACAAAAAAAAATATTGGCAGAAATAATCATTGGATGCCGGAGTTGTTAATTTGCCAGCGTCGCGGTACACTGAAAATTGTATGGATGGCATGTGGACAATATTTGAAATCATTTATGCCAAAGTTTTTTAGTTACGAGAGTAATCAAATGCATAGTCTACTAATGATCCTTAAATGATTTTCAAATGTTCTTTCACGTATCATAGTGTGCTACGATGTTGTCACCTTAATAATTTCGGCGTATGACGATTATTTCTGTGAAATTTTATTCAATTGTGGGATCTATCTAATATCTAGTTAAAATATTAAAATGATAAAATAGTCATATACGAGACTTAAAAAATAATTTTCTTATTTATATATATTAAATGTTGAATACTTTAAAATATATCGTTATTTTTTACATGACATAGTTATATTTATTTGCGTTGCTATATTGTGAGTAATTCTAATATGTAACGTGTGATTGTAGGATAAATAAATAAAAGATAAAGCATAACTTTAGAGTAATTTGTATATATTTATTTATGTTACTTTTAAATACTATTAAGATTTTTATTTTTTTAAAAAAAGTACAATTAATATTTTGTGAATAATAATTTTAATAATAATTAATTTTTATCATTTATAATATAATTGTTACGAACAACTAATTTTGAATAAAATAACTTTTTGTACGATATAATTGTTTCTACAACAAATTTGCACATGAATAATTATAATGACAATATATACATATTATCATTAGATATATAACAAAAGATTGAATTGTTTCTTTATCAAAAAAGAAAAAGAAAAAGAAAAATTGAATTGTGCATACAATTTTATTTTTTTTAAATTAAAATTTTAGTGACAAAAAATGGTTTTTCCTAACAAATATTTTCAATGATTTTTATTATTACTATTATTATTTTTGCATAGATATTAATAATATTATTATAAATTTAGGCTATATGAAATAATTAGATAATTAGAATCAAAGAAAAAAAAAAGAATTGGATTTATTTAATTTGATTTTGAATGAATAATTATTTAAATATTTTTATTATTTCAGTAATATTAAAATCTATTATTTTTAAATTATAACAATCATTTAATAATTATATAAATTATTTGAAATATATATAGAGAGAGAGAGAAAGGACCGGGAAAGAAAATTAGGAACCTTTAATCCATTGTCGTAGAAGTGTGTTTTTTCTGATTTTTTTTTTCAAATATATTTTTCAAAAAAATATTAAATTACATATATTTATTATTTTTATATTATGTATATATCATAAAAAAAATATATTTTCAAACTATTTTATAAAATAAACGCACCTATATAAATATATATATATACATCTGCATAATATTTTTATATTAGTCAAAATTATGTTATTTGTTTTTGTTTATTAAATTTAAGTATAGCCTATTTATAGTATAAAAAATTATTCATTCATAATTCTATTGTCTCTATTTCAATAAGCAATAATAATTCTGTCGATATTTTTTTATTTACTTTATTATTTTTATAACTTCTTCATAATTTTTTTTATAATATTCCATTTGACTTTCTACTTATCTCATCTTATTACCGTACAAATTTATAAAAATAGTCTGAACGGAGAAATTATTTTATAGTGATGTGACAATATTTTGCAAATTCTTCAATGATTTTTGTTTTCTTTTTATGTGCATGTTCTAAGTGCGTTTGTTTGGGGTTTTGGATTTTGAGTTAGGATTTGAATAATAAAAATGTTGAATTTGAATAGTCGTATAATGTGATATAAATAGGTGTTTATGTGATGTTTTAATATAAAATTAATTTTTAATATAATATAAAAAATAAAAAAGAACTATTTGAATTGATATTTTTTTGAGAAAAAAATAAAATGAATAATGTTCAAACCCTCAAACAAACACATCTCAAGTGTATTTAAATGAATGTTTTGGGTATGTTTGCTTTGTGCTTTAAACCCAAACTACCACTCTTCATTTTTTATACGATTACCAATAAAAAATATATTTTTTTAAAAAAAAATATATATATATATATTATGTAGAAATACTATTTAAATCAAACCCAAACAAACCCTTTGAAATTGTAAAAATATGGTATCTATTTGGATTTGATTTGAAATTAAGATATTTTTATATGAAAATTTTTTATTAACTGTATCAAGGATCAGCAGAAAAAATAGACGATCGACTTGCTGCTTACTTGACTATTGTATTGTCAATGATGATCGGATCGAAGTCTATTTTGATGGATTGAGAAATGTTTTTTTGAATAAGACAAATAAAGAGAAAAATCATTGTCCATTGTGCTTGCATCAAAATAGAATATCAAAAGGGAGAAAAAAAGAGTCTCATTTACCCAAAACCAAAATAGGTATCTTGTGACTGTCTCTTCTCTGGGGCATTAATAAAGTCTTGACATATTAATTCCGTCTCATATACTATATCTTCTGTAAATGACATAAAATTTCCAAAATGTGAATGAATATATTTAATTTTCTGTGGATTCGACTCGGTATACTTACTGATTTATTAATTGAAACGATATCGTACACTTACGATAAATTACAAAAAAAAAAAAATAAAATATGTAAGTATCAAGTTTCATGGTTGTCGATTTTTGATTAGTTGAAACAAATCATGCATATTCTATATATACATGTATCTTAAATTTATTTTGTCCGGCTTTTCATCACTCATTGAGAGAAAGTAAGTGTATGTTTGTGAGTACTGTTCTAGGTCAGAGTTGAAAACCTTGAAAGTTCATTTCACCTTGTGAAAAGTTCAAAATTCATGATGCATTAGATTGAGTTTCACTTCTAGTTAAGGGAAAGTGTTATCTTTTGGATGTTGTTTTCATATTTTTGGATGTCGTTTTTACACTTTTGTTTTACTTAAAATGTAGATATTTGTGTTATATTTAATTAGAGACTAATTTTGTTTCATTTGGATATAAAATAAATTTTATATAAATTTTTAAAGTTATGCACTATATTTTTTGACGGAATGTTTATTTAGTATGTTTAACTACTATTATGTTCTTTTTTGAGCTTATTTTCATATTTTTGTTTAGTTGAGAATATAGATATATGTACTAACTTTACTCAGAGACCAAATTTATCTCATTTGAATGATGTAAAATGAATTTTAAGTGATTTTTTAAATAAAAATGCTCTATTTTCTTGAATTGAACGAACTGTTTAAGTTAAGATGATATTATGGATGTAATTCAAATTATAATTGAATTTTTGGTCTTTGAAGTAAAACTTGGGAATTTTAGCTTTAACTTGGCACTATTTTCATAATATTTGGGCTAACAATAAATTTATGATGAATTTTATAAGATTTGTGCGAAATTTGAGTAAGTTTGTAGATCGTGTTTGGTGATTAGGTGAAGTCCGATCGAGTAAAGTTTATAAGATCTGTGCTCCGTAGTTTTGAGATGCTTTGAGAGTTTTTAATATACGTAAAGCTTTCTTCTTCTTTTTTTATGCTACTACCCGAAAGTGCACACTGGGTAAACTCTCAGCCGAACCTAATACTCTGCAAATTAGACCTGATAAAAAAATCACACTAAGCGAACCATGTGCAGCAGGTGATGTAAAGCTTTCTTACAATTACATATTTTTGAAATACTTATGGTTGTTGAAAATTATATTTTAAGATTTTTGTGAAAAAAAAAAATTTACACTCATTATTACGATGTTTTAGGCTCCGCATTAGGGGGGCACGTCATATTTTTTTTACATGACGTTGTTCTTTTGTTGACTTATGTCAATTCAAAATTATTATTTGGGATATAATTTTACTAGAATTTGGGGTTCTTTTTCTATTGATGCTTGGATGTTGGGATTACTAGCTTAGCTTAGTTTATTTTTAATGTAGTAAATAGGTATCAATGTTAACCGCTTATGAAGTAAGACAATTATTTGAAATCATTCATTTTGTTTTATTATATATTTTTTTAATTCCACTAATACTAGGGATAAAATATATATTTTACTTCCTATTAAAAAAATATATATATTATTATTCTACTACAATACATATCTATAATATATTAATTTATTTTAATTTACCGTATAAAAGTCAAATGAAAAATTTATTATTGGACATAAAGAGTATATAATACATTATGTTATTAATTTTAGCATAATAAACATAATTATACAATACAATATAAATATAAAATTGCATATCACATCCTTCTATTTGATATAATTATATATTACACTATGTCACACTAAGTGAACCATGTGTGGCAAGTGACCTGAGGCGTCGGAGGTTTGAACCCATGACCTCATAGTCACACGTCCAACCCCTACACCACCGGGACTAAAAATGTGCATTTTAATTGTATATATTGTGAGTGCAGTTTTTTTTTTAACACTCATTAAATTTATTACAACTCTAATATAGGTTGACTGCGCCATTAATTATACTATTAATTATCCTTATTCCTCTAAAATAAACAATTTTTTACAAAAAAAAATATCATTTGATTATTTTTCAAAAAAATTTATTCATAGTTTTCAATAATAATAATAATAATAAAATTGCTCGTAAAATATTTTATAAATATTATTTTGTAATTCTAATTGTTGATGTAATTTTTCAACAAAAATAAAGTAAAATTCAAAGATATAGAAAATATCCTTAAACTTGATTAATTAGTGCCTGAGATTAGGAATCTCTAAACACTATATGGTACAGAAAATAAACTGGAAAATAAAAGACTGAAATTTAAAGTGGTGATCCCCAAATCTGACTTTGTTTTGTTGAAGTTGATTGAAGATGCCTTGCCAAATGATTATCCAAGCCTTTAAATATTCTCTGGGAAACCGTACCGAAAACCGTCACCCGAACGGTTACAACGTCTCCTTCTCAACCGTCTTCCAACCCTTCTCCTGCTGACACGCGTCCTCAGCAGACCAAAATTATCCCTATATTTCACTCTTTGAGCCGACCACAGACATTCCGCCCTTTTGGCCCGACTTCGTCCTTCGCCCGACCTGCTTCTTCGCCCGACCTCACTTGGGCCGACCTCCGCATCAGCTACTCTCCGTCTTTGACCGAAGACCTCCGCGTCTGTCCGTACCTCTTCCTTGCCCGACCTTCCTCTTGACAGACCTCTGCGTCTGCCCGACTTCGCCTTCTATCCGATCTACGGTTTACCCGACCTGCGGACTTCCCATCCTCATGACTTTTCGTCTTGAGGACCTCCCGACCTGAAAACCTTCCGACCTGAGGTCTTTCCGTCCTGAGGACTTTCCGTCTTGAGGACCTCCCGACTTGAAGACCTTCCGACCTGAGGTCTTTCCGTCCTGAGGACTTTCCGTCTTGAGGACCTCCCGACCTGAAGACCTTCCGACCTGAGGTCTTTCCGTCCTGAGGACTTTCCGACTTGAGGACCTCCCGACTTGAAGACCTTCCGACCTGAGGTCTTTCCGTCCTGAGGACTTTCCGTCTTGAGGACCTCCCAACCTGAAGACCTTCCGACCTGAGGTCTTTCCGTCCTGAGGACTTTCCGTCTTGAGGACCTACCGACCTGAAGACCTTTCGACCTAAAGTCTTTCCGTCCTGAGGACTTTCCGTCTTGAGGACCTACCGACCTGAAGACCTTCCGACCTAAAGTCTTTCCGTCCTGTATTTTCCTTGATTTCCACACGGTGCCCTTCAGCCAGTTCAACCAACTCTATTGCCAGGCCCATTCTTCTTTTTACCTTGGACTTTTAACCTAATTCTAAATTTCATACGTAACACTAATTAGTAATAATAATTTTTTAAAGAAACAATCTGAATGCTAAAAAAAATTTATTACATCATAAAAAGGAAAAAACGTTTATCATTTTTTTTTTTCAAAACAGCTATTCATCAAACCGACAGCATTCATAATTGTATTCAGATATTTTTTTTAATTAAAAATTATTTCCAATTTTTTTTATACTGACTTTGTGTTTTTGTTTTGAATTTTGATTTTGAATAGTAAGATTTTGAATTGAAATAATTGTTTGATGTGATATAAATATATATTGATGTGATGTTTTGAATGTGAAATTAAATTTTAGTGTAATAAAATAAATAAAAATTTGATGTTTTATTTGATGTTTTTGGAAAAAATAAAATAAAATAGTAAAATCAAGTATAAAACCTGACAAGCAAACACACGTAATTTTTCAAAAGATAAAAATAAATATATAAATATATATATTTTGTTTTATAAAGGATTGTTATTGTAGGGTGATCTCATAACTGTAAATTTATAAGCTTAAATTTATAACGTTTTTACGTCTTGCCTGCATATGATTTGTGTAGTATATTTTGTATTGTCGAAATTAATTTAATTATTAGATTTGATCGAAAATTTATTGAAGGATAACGACTACAAATTTCTAATAAATATATATATATATATATGTATATTCCTATATTTTTAGATTTTTATATGTGGTGATCCAGATAACACCAATCAAAAATCTTTCCAATTCAACTAAAAGAAACACACATGCGCGAAACGAAATTCCTACATAATTTTATATCACAACCCCACATTTAAAATGCCATAGCTCGTGGGGTTTAACATTCAAGATAACCCAGTGGGCCCCGCCCACAAAACGAACGGCCACGATTCATTCAGATCGGGACCGGGAAAACCCGCAGGGCCCGGGCCTTGCTCATCGTCAGCCCAAACCTCTCCGCCATGTCCAGACCTTCCTCACACCTCCAATCGAACGAATTCAGCAGCGACCCCACCACCAGCGGCACCATCCGAGCCGCCACCGCCGCGCCTGGGCAGATCCGCCGCCCGCCGCCGAACGGAATCAGCTCGAAATCCGCGCCAAATACGTCCTCCGCCGAGTCCAGAAACCTCTCGGGACTGAACTCCAGAGGACTCTCCCACACGTGCGGATCACGCCCCATCGCCCACACGTTCACCCACACGTGCGTACCCGCCGGCACGGCGTAGCCGCCGACGGCGACGGCGCGCTCCGCCCTGCGCGGAATCAGAAACGGCACCGGCGGGTGCAGCCGGAAAGTTTCCTTCACCAGAGATTGCAGATATGGCAGCCGCCGGAAATCTGACTCGTCGATTACTCTCCCCTTTCCGACCACTCCCTCCATCTCCGATTTCGCCTTTTTTAGGGTTTCGGGATTTCCTAAAACTTCCGCCAAAGCCCACTCCACCGTGCTCGACGTCGTATCACCTGCTCCGATGAACAAATCCTACACCAGATTAAATAAAATAAATTAATATCTGAAGAATTATAATTAATTCGATCGAATTTTTAATTTTACCAAAAGAATGTGTTCGATTAAAGTCCTGTCGTCAAGTTCTTCGAGCAGGACCTCCAGCAGATCTTCAGCAGGTCCGGGATTCCGGGACTTCGTCGTCTCCAACCTCTCGTCAATTAGGGTTCTGAAAATTTGCAGCGCTTTCCCCATATGAACCTTCATACGACGTCGTATTCCTTGGGGATCGATTTTTTTGAGGACTGGGAAGAAATCTGCCAAATTTGGGGCTCCGGCTTCGACCATGATATTTCTTACCAGATGTCGTAGCTCTCCGTCGGATGTCGAAACGGCGTCGGTTAAATTTTTGGAGAATATGAGGTTGAAGAGTTGATTTATGGAAGTGTCGAAAACGGCGGTTCCGACGTCGATCGCCTCGCCGGCGAGGGATTTTTTCCGGCAATAATCGATGAGGTCCTGGACCTTGGATTTTCTGAGGTTATAGCTGCTTCTGACGCGGCTGCCGGAAAAGATGTTTCCGGTGATGATTTTCCGGATGGTGCGCCACCGCGGCGACGCCGCCGGGAGTGCGACGACGGAGTAGGCGGAGTGGCGGTGGGCGTGGAAGGAATCGGGGATAGCTCGGCTGGCTAATGCCTCGTCGTGTTTTTGCAGGACTTCTCTGGCGGCGGCGGCGGAGGAGACGACCATCGTGGTGACGTGGCCGAGGCGGAGGGATATGACTGGGCCGTGAATGGCGGCCAGCTGAGCGGCGGATCTGTGGGGGAGATCGCCGAGGAGGTGGAGGTTTCCGATGATGGGGAGCGGCGTAGGTCCCGGCGGGAGGTTTTTCCGGCGGCCGGAGAGAGTGTGGAAGGCGTAGGCTAAGGCGAAAGCCAATAATATGGCGATGAAATACATGATGCAATGACTGCTCGAAATGGACAATAAAAATGAAATGTTAGTCATATATATATATATTGTTATATACGTATATTATATATGAATGTTATGTGGACGTTTTATTTATGAACACGATTTCTATTATTGGCCAAATTTTCTCCGTTGGTTGTATGACGGTTTGGCGTATATATATGTCTTTTACTGTGTATAATATGAATATAAAAAAAAAAAAAAAACTCATTCAACATCTCTGCCAATTCCCCTCGCATCCATCAACTTCGCATTTATTGCATGTACATATACATACATCATTTCATACATCTATCTATATATATAATATTCATATACAAAACACATCCACACATACATACATACATATATATATATTATACTTACCAACTGACATATATTTATATATCATATTATATTTATTATTACATAACATATATATATATATATGGGAAATAATATTATTTTTTATTGTAAATATTAATTATTATATTAAAATAATATAAATTAAAAAAATGACAAAAATATTATTATTATTGTGTAATAATATTAATACAATATTATTTGTAAATACAATTTTAGACTGAGAGAGTATATAAATATATAAGGATGTGAAAGGTATCCATTTAATATTACATCCTTGTATATATATATATATGTTTATATTAAATACATAGGATTTTTTATTATTATTATTATTTTTTTTTTTGATGAATTTGAAAAAAAAATGATTTGAATTCGTTATTAAAATAATGTATGAAAGAATATTTGTGAGAAAATATATATATTTTTAAAAACGCAGAATTCAAATGATAGAAACTTAGAATTTGATGGCTAAAAAAGCAAATCTATAGTTATATTAAAAAGAGTACATGATAAGCCAAGGGAGGCCGAAGATCTCATATATATATGCATGTATAGAGTTGAATAATTATAGTGTTATTGAAGCTAATGAGGATTTACTATCAGAATATTACATATTTACTTCAATTTTTTTTTTTCGAAAATACTTTCAAACCTATTATAAGTCCTGAGTTCAATGTTGGAGGACATGAATGTTGCACGGCGATTCCAAGTCTTTTTTTAAGGTTTAGAATATTTCGAAGCACATTCCAAGCTTGCATAGAAAATATCTTAAATTTTCGAGGCCAATCTTCTATATATTGTTATTGAAATTAGAAAGATTTTGGAATTTTTTAAGCTAATATTTTTTAAACGGACGGAGGGAGTACTATCTAGAAACTATTTGAAGAAGGTTTCGGCATTTCCGAGGCCAATATTTTATGTGTTTACATTAATATTTAAAATAAAAGAGTCTCGAAATTTTGAAACTAATTTTACATATTTAATATCATTAATTGACATACTTTGCTTCAAACCAATCTAAGTTACAGAGGCCATTTGAGAAATAATTCAAAATTTTCGAAGCCAATACTTTAAATTTTTAATATTAGTATTAGAAAGAAAAAGGTCTCTAAAGATCATTAGGCGCATAAGGTATGCGAAAGAAATTTCACAAATTTCAAAAGCCATTATTTATTATTATTTTATGCAAACCGTTTATCTTTAAGTCTTTGCATATATATATATATATATACATATTTTTTAAATTCATTTTTTTTAATATTTAGTTAGTAAGAATTAAATATTTGCTTAAAGTTTTACTTATTTTAGTATTAAACATCCAATAATTATATATTAGTTTATCGGTAGAATTTATTTATTATGTATCTTATATATATAGTTTTTATTTTCTTGTTTGACTTAAATTATATATCATATTTTATATTTTACTAATGTATTATTGTTAGATTAATAAATACAAATTAGTTATATTCTTTTATTATTCAAATTAAGTTATGTTTGTAATTTTATATTTTAAAAATTATAAAATAAATTTATGTATTTGAGTACAAATATTTTTTACTTAAAATGCTACAATTATTTTTATTATTTTCAAAATTATTTTATAATATATACATGATTTTAAATATTTTATTAATTTAGTGAGAGAATTATACTTTGTTGATTTCTAAATGTATTATTAATTGATTTTACATATATATATATATATATTTATTTGTAATTTTGATTAATTTATTAAATAAAGATGTGTTACATATTTTTTTATATTAATTTTAAGTCTTTTTTTTTAAAAATATTTTTAAATTTTTGAATAGTTTAGAATGCACCAAGTTTTTTCCTTATATTTTTACTTATTTGAATTATTTAAAATTAAATAAAACAACAGTGAGCAAATGAATATAATATTTTTTTCGAAGCTAATACTTTAGATTTTTAATACTAGTATTAGAAAGAAAAATGTTTCGAAAATTCTGAAACCATTAGACGCTTCAGAAGACATTATTCATTATCTTTTGCCAACCTTTTATCTTTAATTCTTTACCTTAAACCATTCATCGTCTTCATTTTTTCAATGAAAATAAGATATATATATATATATATATATATTTTAAATTCATTTCCTTATTTTCATATTTATTTAGTAAGAACTACATATTTGGTTAAAGTTTTAGTTATTTTAGCATTAAACATCCAATAATTATATATTAGTTTATTATTAGAATTTATTTATTATGCATCTTATACTACTATTATTATTTTTTTTAAATTTTCTTGTTAGATTTGAATTATATATTATATTTTATATTTTACTAGTGTATTATTGGTAGATTAAGAATTGGAAATTAGTCCTATTGTTTTATTTTTCGAGCTGAGTTATGTTTTATAATTTTATATTTTAAAATTTTTAAAATAAATTTATATAATACAAATATTTTTTTACTTGAAATGCTACAATTATTTTTATTATTTTCATAATTATTTCATAATATTCACATGATTCTAAATCTCTTCTTAATTTAGTGAGAGAACTATACTTTGTTGATTCTATATGTATTATTAATTGATTTTACATATATATATATATGTTTATTTATTATATGTCTAAATTTGTAATTTTGATTATATTTTTAAATAAAAATGTGTTACATAATTTTTTTTATATAATTTATATTATTTTATGTATTAAATATTTTTAAATTTTTGAATATATTAGAATGCAACAATTTTTTACTTAAAATTTTATTTATTTGAATTATTTTAAAATTAAATAACAACAGTGACCAAATAAATATAATATTTTTGGCCAAGTTCATTTTTTTGATAGATTAGTAAAAGAAGCTCATTTATTATTGTTACGCACGAAATTTAGAATTAGGTTAAAAGCCCAAGGTAAAACGAGGAATGGGCCTGGCAATAGAGTTGATTGAACTGGCTGAAGGACACCGTGAGGAAATCAAGGAAAATAAATTTATTTATTTATTTCTAAGGAAAATTCAGGACGGAAGGTTTTTAGGTCGGTAGGTTCTCAGGTCGGTAGGTCCTCAGGACGGAAGGACCTCAGGTCGGGAGGTCCTCAAGATGAAAGACCTCAAGTCGGACGGTCTTCAGGTCGGGAGATCCGCAAGACGGAAAGACCTCAAGTCGGAAGGTCTTCAGGTCGGGAGATCCGCAAGACGGAAAGACCTCAAGTCGGAAGGTCTTCCGGTCGGGAGGTCCGCAAGACGGAGAGACCTCAAGTCGGAAGGTCTTCGGGTCGGGAGGTCCGCAAGACGGAAAGACCTCAAGTCGGAAGGTCTTCAGGTCGGGAGGTCCGCAAGACGGAAAGACCTCAAGTCGGAAGGTCTTCAGGTCGGGAGGTCCGCAAGACGGAAAGACCTCAAGTCGGAAGGTCTTCAGGTCGGGAGGCCCTCAAGATGAAAGACCTCAAGTCGGAGGGTCTTCAGGTCGGGAGGTTCGCAAGACGGAAAGACGATGAATCGGAAGGTTTTCAAGTCGGGAGGTCTTCGAGACGGAAAAGTTGTCGAGATAGGATATCCGCAGGTCGGGTAAACTGTAGGTCGGATAGAAGGCGGAGTCGGACAAACGCGGAGGCCTTTGATCAAAGACAGGGGGCGGTTGATATGGAGGTCGGCCCAAGTGGGGTCGGGCGAAGAAGTAGGTCGGACGAAGGACGAAGTCGGGCCAAAAGAGCGGAAGGTTTGTGGTCGGCTCAAGGAGCGAAATATAGGGAATTTTGGTCTGCTGGGGACACGTGTCAGCATGAGAAAGGTTGGAAGACGGTTGAGAAGGAGACGTTGTAACCGTTCGGGTGACGGTTTTCAGTACGGTTTCCCAGGGAATATTTAAGGATTTGAATCATCGTTTGGCGAGGTATCTTCAATCAACTTCAACAAAGCAAAGTCAGATTTGGGGATCACCACTTTAAATTTCAGTATTTTATTTTCCAGTTTATTTTCTGTACCATACAGTGTTTAGAGATTCCTAATCTCAGGCACTAATTAATCAAGTTTAAGGATATTTTCTATATCTTTGAATTTTACTTTATTTTTGTTGAAAAATTACATCAACAAATTGGCGACCACAATGGGAGCAAGACACAATTGCTCATTCCAATTCCGGCGATAATTTCATACGTCTTAGATCCGGCCGAATCATCGGAAGGGTTATGGCAGGGTCACAACCGCAAGCATCTTCGACACCGGTGGGAGAATCCGTTCCACCACCCATTGTGCCAAATGCCGGGGAAATCCCACAACCACCAACTGATTGGTGGTCTTATGTTCAACAAATGAACAACCAGCATACCTTGGTTATGCAGAATATGTTGCGTGAGCAACAAACGAACATGTTGCGTGAGCAACAGAGTCAGTTGCAGAACATGATAGATCAAGCATTGTCAAGGGTTAGTCTTCAACCCACTCAAACGCCACCAGGAGTGTCACCGTCCAGACCACAGGCAAATTTCGCAGGGCCATCATTCGTGGATAGTACATTCCCAAGTGCCACAAATCCCAACCGAATGGATCGGGGAAAAACTCCTTTGACTTTTCCCAACAATGTTCCACTGGGACCAAGGGTTACCAATTCGCAGCCGAACAATACAAGGGAGGACAGGCCTGAAGGATATATACATGATCCGATTCATATTCCTGTGCAGGATCCGTTCCAGGTTCCTGATCATCAACGCTTTC